TAATATAATTCCCTTTCCTTAATGAATTTATATTTCCCAGCTCTTTGAATTGAATTAATGGTTGAATAAGGGAAACATTGCTTAATTAACCCTAATTCGTTTTAGTGAAATTCTTAACTTAGTTTGCTTAATCCTAAGTTAATTTCTAAGGTTGCGTAATCTTGGGGAAAAGAGTTGGAGTCCATTAAATTTGCTTAAATTTGTATGGGGTCTTAAGGTTAATTCTCGCTTATTGAGTTAATCTAATTCAGAGGAAAAGGAAAAGTATTGAATCTTGAGAGGAATAGGGATAGAATCACATGAATGAGCTAAGGATTGCTACATTTCATTGATTGAACTCATTAATTTCATCACTTGCCTTTACATTAAAATTGGAATCATATAAAACTCCCTTTTTAATTGCTTTCATAGTAAATGTTTACAACATGTTTAATGTATGTTGCTAACCAAAGTCATTGGAGACAATCTAGGCTTGCATCCTAGACTACATAAAAATTTTGCATATTTTGATGATCGCAAGTAATTTCACTCAAAGTACACCATGAAAGTAAGCATTACCATAGGCTTGAAGAGTCTCTAATTTCTACCATTTAAAAGCACATGCACCAAAGATCAATAGAACTTGTATTAAGCTTGTAATGTGGCTAAGGTAAAGGTACGGTAAAAGAAAATGTACAAAGCTAAAAACCAAAGAGAAAAGAAAAGCAATTAGGAATGAGTTGAAAAACAAGTAAAAATACCTAAAACCACCAACACACATTTATTTATTTAGACATTATATATTTTTTTGTTTTTATATTTTTTATTTTATTTTTATTATTTTTATTTATTTATTTTATTTTGCAATTACTTCACTGTTACTATACAATCCACTTTTCCAATCAACATACAAAGCATCAAAATTCTCTCAAAATTTTATGAATAAAGCGTAAGGTACATTACACCCCCACACTTATTTTCAACCAATTTCCAAAACAATTCCAAAGCTCATCTATTCCCAAAGGTTGGGTGCATCATGGTTTTTCAAGTTACATGGCTTAGAATGAGCTGTAAAATCATCAAGAAAGAGGTTAATAAGGCTCAAAGGCGTAAACAAATGGAATAAATACAAGGTAAGTCAATTTGGCTAAGTAGCTAAAAATCAAAAGAAGGCCTAAATCATATCAAAAGTGCATGTGAACAAATAACATAAAAAAGAGTCAAGTCGAGTTCTAGAATACTTACAAACATGAGTGGATCACACAAGAAAGAAGATAAGCTCAAATCTCACTAAGGCATGCATTCTACCAATCATTGATCCAAAACCTAATTATCATGAAAAAACTAGCTAAACCCAAAATGCAAGAAACACATCTATCAAGTTATGAAACTTTCAACTACGAATGACAAATGAAAAGTTGCTCACATAAATGAAATCTAAAAGCAAGGGAATCCAATGAAAAATATGCTAAAGAATACTCCCTCCTCCCACACTTAAATCAAACATTGTCCGCAATGTGGAAAAAAATAGAAAATGCAAAACATATGCAAGTAGTCTAAGAATAAAGTACATATATATACATGAAAAAGTAAAGAAAAGTATAGTGAAAAGAAACAAAGTCAAAGAAAACAATGCTCCAAGTGCCTATGTAGACACATCCTACATCAAAGTAGGCTCCACCAAGGATAAATCAACTATGTTTTGAGCCGATTTCACTGGTTTGCTTTCTTGGAATAATTTCAGTTGATGAACATTGACTTTAAAAGTCTTGTCGGTAGCTTCATCTTGAATCTCAACTGCACCATAGGGAAAAACATGAGTAATCACAAAAGGTCCATCGCATCTAGATCGAAGCTTACTTGCAATCAATTTCAACCGAGAGTTAAAAATAACACTTTCTGGCCTACAAAGAACTCTTTCCTCAGAATATGTGTGTCATGAAATCTCCTAACTTTCTCTTTATACAATCTAGAATTCTCATAGGCCTGCAAGCGTATCTCATCAAGCTCCTGAAGTTGGCGCTTCCTTTCAATTCTAGCCTGCTCAAGTATCAAGTTATAACTCTTTACAGCCCAATATGATCTATGCTCAATTTCCATCGAAAGATGGCATGCTTTACCAAACACCACTTGAAATGGAGACATGCCTAATGGTGTCCGATAAGCTGTCCTCTAAGCCTAGAGAGCATCATCTAGAAACTTACTTCAGTCCTTCCTGTTAGGGTGAACCAACTTCTGCAATAGGTGTTTAACTTCTCTGTTGAATACCTCAACTTGCCCATTAGTCTGGGGATGATATGGTGTAGCAGCTCTGTGTGTAACCCCATACTTTTGGAACAATACTGCTATGGTCTTGTTACAGAAGTGACTTCCTTGATCACTGATGACAGCCTTAGGCACACTGAACCTGCAAAATATGTGAGTACGGAGAAAATCCGAAACAAATTTAGAATCCTTTTCCTGTTTCTGCTGGATATTCTTACGTATTACTTGTTGTCGATTAGAAAATCCATAAAATCAATGCCCCAAACATAAAAAGCTTCACAAAAAATAATGGGCTGCTGAGGCATCTCATGCCTCCTAGTGATAGTCTCTCCTGCCTTCTGACATATCTCACAACTCTCAAAAAACCTAGCTGTATTCCTGAATATGGTGGGCCGATAAAATCCGTTGTCTAATACCCTCCTGGCTGTCCTCTGCGGTCCAAAATGGCCTCCTACAGATGTGCCATGACAAAAATGTAGAATATCTTGAAACTCATGGTCAAGAACACACCGACGGATAACTTGGTCATTACAAAAATTCCACAGATATGGATCATCCCAGATATAATATTTAGCATCACTTTTAAGTTTATTAACCTGGGATCTTGATGCATCAGGAGGTACAACAGAAGTAACCAAATAATTTACAATATCAGCAAACCAGGGTACAAAGATGGAAAAACTCCATGAGAACCTAGGGAATCCAAGAAAACAGAGAATGAGGATGAAAAACTGAAACGCTAACCATTAAAGCTCACCTCCAAGTGTTCCCAACACGAATCCAACCTTTAATTTAGCTCCCGAATGATGTTAGAGGCAATTTAATCGGTGGAATAGGGTTTTGGGTCGAGAGAATCGAAGAGATTTTAAAGAGAGGAATGGGAAATGAATTTCCCAAACCCTAAACCCCTTAAATCCTCTTTTGATCGCGACACTTTTGCTACAGCAACACCCCTTATCACTGCAGCAAAAATCTCAGAGAAAATTGCACCTGGTTTCTGCAGAATCTCGCTACAGCAGGACTGCATCCAGAAATGCATTGCTCACTGCCGCTCTCTCGCTATAGTGAGACATATCTTGGTACAGAGAAGGCGACAATTTCGCCCCTTCCACCCAGGGCCCTCTCGCTACAGTAAGAACACCCAGTATTACACCTTTAAACCTGTTTTTCAGCCTATTCAGTCCAATCCAATCATATGTAAATACATTTATACGCATACACACACACACACACACACACACACACACATATATATATATATATCAATAATCAATATTATAAAATTCAGGTGTTACAACCAATGCGTGTGTTTAGTGGCAGCTCAAGAGTTTTTAGGACCTAAAACAAATTTAAAAATGAGACTTTTTTTATTAATAAAAATTTATTATTATTAGTTGAGAATTACAGTTAATTAAATATTATTTGTAATATCAATAAAAATTTAATAATTAAATTAAATATTTGAATTATAAACTTTTTTAAATTTAATTTTTTTAATTTTTAAAGGTATATTAAAACTAAAAAAAATAAAAATTTGGGGGCTTAAAGCCCTTGCCTTACCTGCCGAGGCCTTAGGCTGCCCCTATATGTATTGTGCTGCTTCTTATTCAGAGTTTGGATTGGCTTGTTCTGTGTTTGGGTTGTTTATGGATCTGGTTTAAAAAGATCAAGCCTATTCCAAAGGGTGGGGCTTTAGATGTTGAATCTGGAGAGAAGGGTTTTTTTTCCCATGGTGCTAGTGCAGATCCCCATGTGAAGAAGGTGAAGGTTGAGGTTTGAGGTTGCAGGTGGGGGAGATGGGGCTAACGGCTGCTGCTGAGGAGAGGGGGTTGAGAGGAAGAAAAAGACTTTTACAAATAGGTAAAATATGTGTAAGGACTTGTTTTGTAAATAATTATTTTAAATAATAAAATATTATTAAATATATGACGTGACATGTCATGTGTCAGTACTGAGCTGGCTTTACCAACTCAAAATTTAACAGAGAAAAGTTGACGGCAGGGACTAAATTCTAAATTTTTATCTTTTTAGAGACTACTTCCTAACAAAAATATTTGTAGGGACTAAACACAAAATGACTTATATTTATAGGAACCAAAAATATAATTAAGTCTAAAATTTATAATAAAATAAAAAATAATATAACTTTTAACTATAAAATATATATCACATATGTTTAATAGTTTGTTAGAGTTAATAAACAAGTGAAGAAATATGAAATTTAAATAATATAAAAATAAGAAATTTAAATACTTATATTATTTAATAATTTTTTATAGAAAGAAAATTAACTAATAAATTTATTAAATTTAAAAACTTTTGTGAAGTAAATTAAATTTTTAAAATTTTAGATATAGATAAAATTGATAAATACTTCGTTATATTTTATTTCATGTATAATATATTTTTTGATATAAATAATATTTAATTTGAAATAATACATTTATTCATAATCAAACTGAAGGAATCTCGCAATTTATAAAATTTGATTCAATAATGAAAGTGTCTAATAAATTAATAATACTAAAACCTGTGCTTCTCGGCTGCATTTAAATTTTGGAGTCTATTTTTCTGCTGCTTCAAAAAGAAATTTCGTTTTTTCCTCAACTCGAAGAGGAATAAAATAAAACCCAGAAAACCTCAAAACTCTCCTCCTATTTGGATTCGAAGTCCGTGCTTCTCCTTCTCTCTCTCTCTCTGAAGAGTTGTCAACCCATCCGAGAAAGATGGAGTACAGCAACAAACTCGTTCTCGCTCCTATGGTTCGCGTTGTGAGTTTAACTTCCTTCTCTCTAAACAACCATTTTTCATCTCATCAATTATCTTCTTTCGAACCAGAAAACACAAAAGTCAAATCATTGTCACCACTTTGTGCTTTAATTTTTGTTTGGTAGGGCACTCTCCTATTTAGATTACTAGCTGCTCAATATGGTGCAGATATCACATACGGTGAGGAAATCATTGACCATAAGATGGTCAAGTGCGAGCGCCGAATCGATGGTACGCAACTTCACTGGTCATTTCTTTAATTGGTTCCTTGTTTCTTTCAATTGTTCCCTCTTGTTATGAATTTGTCCTGTTCCCTGCTTTTGGACCTGTAAACTTGTGCACTTTACAGACGAATCAATGGTACACTCTTGTTATGATTGCGTTTGATCCCTAAAAGTTTGCTTTATATAATTTGGTGCTTGAATATATTAATTTGTTCACATCTTGTTCCTTAATCCTTGAAAATGTTGTCGTAAATAATTTGGTTCTTCAACATGTTAATTTTTATCACATTTTGCTTATAATTTTGTGAGGAGAGATGTGAGTAAAGATAAATTGCTAAAGCTAAACTTTCTGGCTCCATAGATAAATAAAATGTCACCTTTAGAGATCAAATTGCATATTTGCTCCAGTTTATATTAACATGTAAAAGGACGAGCAGCCCGCCTATTTTTTCTATTTAATTAATATTAATATTAAGTAAAAGTAAATGCTAAGCAGACCCTTGAGGAAGCAAAAGTGCACAATCTTGTAAAAAAGTGTTATAAATGCATCTCTCTCGTGATTTTCAATGCAGCCATCGTAATTTTCAATAAAAAAAATTCTCACTTTCAATTCTTTGGACACTGGTTAGCAAAACCCTTAATAAATAGTCCAAAATTTAATTCTGATGTATTTCTTTCTGGTTTCTATGTTTTGTTTTTATTAGGTGAATAACTGACCCTCTAATGTTGTATTCCTCATTTAGTCTTTTGTATTTCAGTAATAGTACTTATTCAAATAATGAAATAAAAATGTGTTGTTTGGTAATAAATGTCAATTTTTATTTTCTTATATGGTGGTTAGACATCAGCTGCATCGAGGTTGATTAGAAAATCATCCTTATGCCTGCATTTTTTTTCCTATTTAGCTTTGCGTTACTAAGAAACCTGCTATCTTAATTCTTTAACAGAACTCATTGGATCCACTGATTTTGTGGAGAAAGGGACGGAAAATGTTATGTTTAGAACTTGTGATCAAGAAAAAGAAAGGGTTGTATTTCAAATGGGCACATCTGATGCTGTGAGGGCCCTAACTGCTTCTCAGTTAGTGTAAGTTATTTGTACATTTGCTTTCCCTCTTTATGCTGAATTGCTTTTACTCTTTTAACTGAAATAACTGTTTGTTGTTGGTTGTTCATATTTTTGTAGAAAATAACCCAACCTAGTGTGATACAATTTGGTTAAATTATGGTTTTATTGATCTTATTAAAGCCTGCTCACATATAGATTAAAAACGTTGCAGTCTTAGTCAAAATTATGATTGCCCAGAAGATTTTTCACCTCTTCTTCCAAATATATAGCTTGAATTAATGTATATGCATCTAAATAATACATCCTAAAATTAAAGACAACTAAAGTTGTCCCCTAAAATTATACTAAAATCATTTTCATTTGATTTGCTCACAAGCTTACAAGAGGGACTAAGTTTCTGTTACGGAAAAGTAAAATGATTGAGTTGTGACTTGGTCATGCCAATAAATGGTTGACTTAATGTGTGCTTGTAAGATGTCCCTGATTGAAAACACTAATCTATTATGTGAAGTCATCTCCTACAAATAAACGAGGCTGTTTAATAAACTACTAATATGTAGGGATAAGGATGAAATCGAACAAGACAAGGATATAACAGAAAAACAAGTTAAATCTCTATTTGCAGTAGTCCTGCTGCAGACTTTTTCATCTAATTTGAATATTATTTAGACAGTAAACAATATGGGGCACTAAATTAACAGGAATGTATGAGGCACAAGTGCATGATATACACGTAGCTTATATATTAATTACCTTTCATTTTTGTAAACCATGGCTTATAGTTAGTAATTAATATAATAATACTGGTCTTTCATATTGCAGAAAATACTCGTGCAGCTTATCCAATTGAGTACATTCCAAATGTAAAGTTACCATGTGTTGGTCCACACCCAAAAAATGTCATTCTTTTGGCATGCGATGCATTTGGAGTGCTTCCACCAGTGAGTAAGCTAAGCCTGTCGCAGACCATGTACCATTTCATCAGTGGATACACAGCTTTGGTAATGTCCAAGTAACTCACTACACTTCTATTTTACTAATATTGCTTCCGCTATATCTCATGATTTTTTTCTTTATGGTAACTAAAGGTGGCAGGCACAGAGGAGGGTATAAAGGAGCCACAGGCAACATTTCAGCTTGTTTTGGTGCAGCATTTATAATGCTACATCCCACAAAGTATGCAGCCATGCTTGCTGAAAAGATGCAGACGCATGGTGCTACTGGATGGCTCGTTAACACTGGTTGGTCTGGGGGAAGGTATGCTGAGGGGATATTTGATATTTGAAAATGTTTATTGTTTTTATTTTTTATTTTTGCTTTTAATTATAAAATTGGTATCTTATTTTTATTTTGTTTCCTGTTTTTAAAAATTTGTACAAGAAAGAGTGAAAATAGAAAAAAAAAAATTTCTATTTTCACTCTTTCTTGTATAAATTTTTTAAAATAGGAAATAAAATAAAAAAAGTGACTATTTTGTAGTTAAAAGTGAAAACAAATAATAAAAAAGAAATTCTTTTTTAGCAACCAACCCCTTATTGTTGTAATCATTAAAATATATATTTTTTCCCTCTATAAAATCTGAAATTAACTTTGTTCTTGCTTTTTTCAAACTGCAGCTATGGTTATGGAAGTCGCATTAAACTATCCTATACAAGAAAAATAATTGATGCTATTCACTCTGGAAGCCTCTTGAATGCAGAGTACAAGAAGACTGAGATTTTTGGACTCGAGATCCCCCACTGAAGTGGAGGGAGTCCCCTCTGAAATCCTGGACCCTGAGAACACAGTGAGTTGTCCTAGAACTCCACTTTTTCAATTTTTTTTTTAAGTCTTTTAATATACTCTTTTTCTATTTGAAAAGTCTTTTAATATAATTAATTGGAAATTTTACTTGATTGTAGTGGTCAGACAAAGAAGCCTACCAAGAAACATTGTTGAAGTTGGCTGCATTATTCAAGAATAATTTTGAAACCTTCATTGATCACTAGATTGGCGAGGACAACAAACTGACAGAAGAGATTCTTGCAGCTGGTCCCAATTTTTAGGATGCTTAGTAGTAGACTTAGGCACACCCCCATCTCCTTTCCTTTCTTTGCTATTTACTTGTTAATTTGCATTCTTATTGATTACTTTGATTTGAAAGAAAGACAATATTTGAGTTTAAGGGGTCATAATGCTTTCAAGTCTTTTTTGCTGCTTGCAAATTAAGTCTTGCCTTTGTTTTGTTCGTTTGTTTCTTCTTTTGAAGACAAGTTAAGAGAGGTGAAAAGGCCAAGGCATGCCATAAAACCTGAGGCTGATATATCATTGGAAGGTGATTCCACGTTTGAAAGCAGTACGTACATTTATACATCTGTTTGTGTGTTGCTTTCAAACATAAAATCAGCTTCTCATGCTTTCAGACATTGACCTTGTTTCCCCAAGCCATACCTCATTGTATGATTCATGAAGATAAGACCAACCTTTGATACTAGTACTAGAAATATTAACCTAATTTCAAAAGTAACGGTTAATCCTTGCGTGTGTATTACCATACATTAGGGGACACGAGTTGGAGCAAAGTCCAGAAGTGTTGTGTTTCAGTTAATGGCTTACAGGGGTACGAGGTTCAAGGATTTTGGACCCATTTGTTTTAAAGTTACCAAATAAGTTCTCAAACCTTATAATAAAAAATGTTCCCATTAAAAATATAGTTTAAATTAATTTAAACATAAATCTTAAGATTTAGAAATAATTTCACATAACTTTAAACCAAATTAACACTTAGTAAAGTGTAGAGATATATTCTGAGTTGGAAGAATATGAATGCATCATATAAATTGCAGAATCCCAAAGCAAATTGTATAAAAATTAGATTCCCTTAGATCTATGTTGCATGACTACTAGTACAATACCTGTGTCTAATATAGACACAACATAGGTGTTTTCAGTTCAATTTTTATTTAAAAAAAAAGTCATTTAACTTGTAGATAAAAAATAACCCATAATTATGGTTGGATTACTTTTTCGGTCTTTATTTATTATTAAATTATTTATTTTCAAAATTTTATTATTATATGACTTTAATTCTATTTTTAAATTTAAATTAAGGAGTAGATTAAAAATTAAAATGTGTTTATTGAAAATTTTTAAAAAATAGAGAAAAGAAATGATGATTAGAAAGATAAAATTATAAAAATATAATAAATTATTGATAAAAAAGATATTCAATTGAAAAAAATAAGAATTTAAAATAAATTGAAGTGATGCATTGTTATTTATACAATGATTACGATAAAATTGAATAAAAAATAAATTTTATATAGAATATAATAAAAAATAATATAATTTCATTATAAATCAAGTTCAGTTTGATTCGCTTTGGTTCGGTCTTAAGAATGAGATATAAAAATCAAACTAATTTACAATATAAAATATATTTTTTTTAGTTTTTATTTTTTCAGATTGATTTAACTGCTTATAAACGGTTTGATTCGGTTTTAAATATCTAAATACATATATAAAATACAATAATTTAAAAAAAATTGAAGGTACGACTATGTTAATATAATTTTTTAACAAACTCATATTACTTGTTTCATTAGTAAAATGAATAAATTTGATTAAATAAATATAAGGATAAAAAAATTGAGAAAAGTAAAATAATTCATAACTTTACTAGAAAAAAAAATATTATTTTTTAGAAGAAAAATAGTTTAGCTAGTATCTATCTCTATAAAATTGACTAATTATATTTAATATTACATGCATTTATAACAAAATTTACGATTAACTATTACAAATGCAATATTTGCTATTATTACATACATCCAACTTTCTATACTACCATTACAAATGCAAAGAAAATCACAACTTATGTATATAAACATACATGGATCTTTAATTTGTATAAAAAATATTTTAAGAGAAAAGAGTTAGCTAAACCAATCGTAACAAGATTTATAATTGCTTATCTCAACATTAAATTGTATTCGGCAACAAAAAAAAAAAAGCTCTTAAATTTATGTTTGTTTAAGAAGAGTTTACTTTTAGTTCCTATGCTAACAGAGTTAAGACTGAGAGCATAATATTGAGTGATGATAAATTTTAAAAATCTATCAAATATTGTCTAATATGTGTAATTCTACTTGTGAAAATACTTAGACTTGAAGATGGTGATTCAAAATTTGTCATGCCATATATTTATAAAGCAATAGATAGAATCAAAGAACAAATTATTAAAAATCTTCAAAAGAAAGAATAAAAGGTATAAAAAAGTGTAAAAAATCATTAATACTGTTAAAACTTACAAATACAAAGACCTCTCTATTCAGATGCCTATTGATTCAAAACTAGTCATGCCATATATTTATAAAGCAATAGATAGAGTCAAAAAACAAATTATTGAAAATTTTCAAAAAAAAAAAAGTAGAAGATATAAAAAAGTGTGAAAGATCATTAATACTGTTAAAACTTACAAATACATAGACATCTCCATGCAGATGCCTATTGATTCAAAACTAGTCATGCCATATATTTATAAAGCAATAAATAGAGTCAAAGAGCAAATTATTGAAAATTTCCAAAAGAAAGAGTCAAGGTATAAAAAAGTGTAGAAGATCATTGATACTGTTTGCACTTACAAATACATAGACCTTTCTATACAGATGCCAATTATCTAAATCTATTAAGCTATATTTGGCAAGAAAAGATATATTTGACAAAGCTTTTATTACTTTGCAATCATAGGCATATCAAATCTAATTTCTTTAATGGCTGTAATTAGACATGCTGTAAATAATATCAGTAGCATATCAGTGGTTATAACATGAGAGGCACAATCCTAAGAGAAATTGTAGGCACCCATTTGTGTATATAAACTATGTCTCCTAAAGGAATAAAAGTATAATCCATTCTTTTACATGGTATTAGAGCCATACAACCCCCAAATAAAATAAAATTCCAGAAAAGTATTGTTGCTTCTATAGCATTAAATGTTTATCCAGCCTAATGGTAACTGATTCTTTGTAATAAGAAACAAAAGACAGTTCAGTGAATATGTTCCCAAGCTTGATGCATGATCTCATCATCTATGAAGGGCCGCAAAGACCACATTTGGCAGTAGCTTTCAAGCTCTTGTGATGACAACTTGAGATCTAAAGCAGACACAATCTTTTCCTGCATCAAACAGTCTTGCTTGACCATGCTATATATAAAAGCCATTAGGGCAGCTAAATGTGTGATATCAGTATTTTTGTTGGTAGTTATAACATCAGGACCTTGAGCGTTAGACAAAGGATCATTTTCCTCCTGAGTAAGATGTAATTGCAATTAGTGAGATACAATTCCATAATATATCAACAGCATGTAAATGATTCGTGTATCTAGTGGAAATGTACAACTTCACCGCCAATCAGAGAAAGAGGTCTGTGACCTCATATTACAGGAATCTTGGATACCAAAAGGATACATATTATGGAAGGAAAGTGGCATAAAATGGGAGGAAGCGGGAGGAAGGGATAACAAAGTTCAAAATAACAGGTTTTATCATAAGGATTAACATGACAAGCCTAATGTAACTCTAAATCAGCATTTGGATTCCAACATGTGTCATGTATCATGATCTAGAGATATACAACAACAACAACCAAGCTTTATCATACTAGGTGAAGTCGACTACATGTATCACATAATACATTGAGCTCGGTCACAAATTAAATTTTCAAAAATCTGATTAATCAAAAGTTATAGATATATCAGTGGGCAAAATAATAAAAGATATGATATAACAAAGATTATATGTGGATATGACAAAGATCGTGACATGAGACTGATATTTTACTATCAAGTTAAAAAATTTCTTTTGGTGTTTCTCGTTCTTGGGGGAGAAGTAGGGACTCTTTCGGAGGATTATATGAAGAAAAATGATACCAATTGCATTAGAATTTAGAAATTCTCTCGAAACAAAAAATTAATAATATTACCAAATTCTTATAGATTGCCTGCTCATTCAATTCAACATGTATACTCTGTCCAGCCCTTGTTACATCCCCCAATAAATCTTCAAGTTCATTAAGTATTTCCTTAGCTGCAAGACACTCTTGACTAGTTAATTGTCAAACTAAAATAGAGAAGAAAAGATCAATTAGATAATTATGACATTAGATTTATATCCCAATAATATATACAACACACAAGCCAATAAGGGACTGGACTAACAACTTGATCTTATTACTTCCAATTTATTAATAAGGATTTTCACAAAATGTAGCCACTTTGTTAAACAGAACTTTAGTATCTAATACTAAAACATTTTCATGTAAGAGCCGGAAGGAAGTTCATTACTGATTAAGTAAATTAGATTAGAAAGCGATATTGACAAATGAAAAGCTTTCTCCAAGTTGGAATATGCCTCCATATATTAAGCTGCCATGTTTTTTATTCCAAGCACAACTGTTGAATGTTAGCCATAGTGAAAACTGAAGACAATATGAATAAGGGACCAATGATCCAAATGGCCAAGTTTGAATTTCTCTTTCAAACACTCAATCAGGGATCAATCATTAAAAGAATAGGTCATACCTTTGCTTATATTGTTAAGGAGTCCATGTTTGCATGAGTGCACTTCCATATGCAATAAAATTAAATAGCAATAAAATTAAATAAATAGAATTCAAATTGAGAATGGATAACATGAGTTATACTTACAGTTTGCTACACTCTGGACACTGTCATTGGGCTTCCTGCATCCAGCATTAACATAGGCTTTGACTCTCTTAGTTTCATTAGCTTCAATTATCTTGTTGACTAATTTAGAATCTGTATCTATAGGAAGCCTCCGAATAAACTCTGCCCAATAAAAATGGAAAGTGAGTATTTTACACCTAACTACTAATACATGTCAAGCAAATTCTATAGAACTACCAAGTGCTTGTTGAAAGCCAGACAGCAGCTTGTTTCCAGCAATTCCCAACTCATCAATCTTTGTAATCCTATCATAGGGTAGCTGTTGAGAAATATAAATTTATACAGATATATGATGCAAAAAAATAGTGCAACATGTAAATTTACGTCATATATATATATATATATAGAGAGAGAGAGAGAGAGAGAGAGATGGACAGTGTCCTGTCTCATAAGTCATAAGAATATACCAACAAATTTTCATAATGCATTATATACCTTTGATTTCATGACTATTGAACTGTTTTAATCTTTTTCACACTAACATTTATTAGTAATCACCACCTCCAAACCCCAGGAGTAGGGATCATCTATAGTTATTGCATATCCATAACTATTATCTTGAAGTCACTTGTGAGCTAATGGTTAGGGTTTACATGGAATGTAGGACTAGGAGGCCTTAAAATCAAACCTTCACGATGTCTTATCTTCCAACAAAATTCACAAAGAACAATCCCTGATGCTTATAATGTTTGCCTTTGTAGTTTTGTACCCACATAAAATTATTCTCAGTTATTTCATTACATTACACATTGGGACATGAATTTTATTTATTGTTTTGAAACTCTTTTTGAAACTCCACAAAAAAACTATTTTTCTAGTAATGTACCATTCATGAGAACTAAAAAATTATTCTTAGATGAAGTTCTTAATAAGTCTGCATTTTCTCATGCTTTTACAGCCTATATCTATAAGTGTGACCATTAGTTTATTACGTTTTTACACTTATTTATATAGTAATTGTGCAGTTTAGCATTAGAAGGTCATAATTGGATTTTGGAGTCATTTTATGCTCAAATTGGATAAAAAATAGGACTTCCTTGCAACAAGTACACCCATTTCCCAGCAATCAGTGTGGGAGTGTTTCGATCATATCCACGATTGTGCTTCACTTAGATAAATCCAACTTTGTAGAAATAATAAGGTTTTGAAACCCCATTTGAAGACCCTCATGGCAGCGACTTAGAGATCTTCAATCTTGGTTTTATGAAATTTTTTTTATTAATGATAATTTCATATCTCTTTTGATTGGTGTTTATCCTATTGCGCTACATTTATATATTTGGAATTGAAAATTCTTAGATATATCATAATTAATTATATTGTAAGTGACACCACATACAGTTAATAGATTTATAGGGTGAAATGAGACAAAAAATTAGATAGACCAAATTTAATTCTGTTTTTTCATTATTAAATTAACAACTCATATAAGCTCTTTATGTTTTTTCTTTCTTTTACCTTGCATGACCATTGAAGGTAATAACTTAGTAAAAAAACTGTTAACATTACATGACTATTGAATATTCATAGATTTAGTATAAGTGACTAACAATCATAAGGAAACCAGAATTGAAAGGCCAGCAAAAACCAAGGCAAGCATATAATTTATTTATTTGATAGACAAATATAACTTCCATATATTTACCAATGATTTTTGGCACCTAAAAGAACACAAACTAAAATGTATAATCAGCAATTACCCTGTCATGAAATCTCTGAATTTGTGGAAAATTTCCTCCTCCAAGTCAGAAATTGATGTGTCTTCTTTGCTTCCCATTCTGTGATTTATATGAAAAGAGTAGAAATCAATTAAATAGATTTCATCAGAGGAAATATTATAAGATCACCTCAACGAAAATACATTCTTGCCTCAGCTCTAGATTCACAAAGGCTGTAAAATTGACTTTCAAACAAAACTCAAAAATCCGATTAGACAAATTATAAGTGTGTGTATGTGTCTGTGTGTGTATAAACAAGTATAAAATAACATATATTTGGAAAAATCACTTCTTTTTGGAAAAAATAAATTATAAATTCAAACAACGGAAGTTATCATCAAACACAGAAAAATGAGAAAGGTTAGATTTAAAAATAAAATCAGGCACAAATATTCAGCCATACTGCCAAAAGTAGATAGGCTGCTTAAATAAAACAAAGTTTTACAAAAGTACTGAATGCAAAGGAATGTGCATATATAGAGAGATGATTGGGGACATTCATTTATTCTAGCTGTATGTCTTGTCATACTTAAACCAGTACTATAGTCAATGGGTGAATTCCAACATCAGCAATACAACCTACAAGCTTCATTTATGTGGTGAAGGTAATTTGTTTGTCCAGTTGTTGGAAAGAGGTCATGCTTAAATAATACTCAATAAAGTATAAGTTTACTACACCACTAAATAAAAAAGAAAAAAAATATATATTCATCACATCATACACAAAATCTTATTTAATAATCCTCTAATAAAAGGATGGCAGGCAAAAAATGGAAAGGAATATACTCAAACAGTAAACAGAAGTTTCTTATGTAACTTTTTTTATTGTTTTATAGCCTTTATTTTAATTTCTTGTCACATTGAAAAATGGGGGGAAATAAAGTTCCAATTGCCACAAGACCACAAATAGTCAAGTTAATGTGTTTGAGATTACTTTAAAAATGAAGAGAACTATAATACCGCAAAATGAAGATCAATAATATTATGCATAACTTCATACTAAAGTTATAAAGAAATGCCAAAACAGAGATTCTGAATGCATACAATTTGATGTGGGTTAGAAAACCCTAGATGCCAAATGCTTGTTTTCTAACATTGACTTGCTCTCCTGGATTACTCTCTGTGCAATTACTGGTTGAGAAGGACCGAAAAAGGAACCATAACTGCAAAAGAAGATGGAGACAATATTTTAACTATAAGTGTTAGCAAATTTCAACTTACCAATGCAGTATGCCAAACAAACTCAAATTATATCCATGAAGAGAACAAAGAATGTATAATATATACCACCCACACAAGCCAAATGAAAAGAGAGTAACAAAATCTCAAGCCTTGGCAAAATCACAAATAAGACAGAGATCCTACAAAATTGGATGAATACATGTAAAATAATATAAATATAAAAAGGAAAGAAGCCAAACAAAGACAAATGAGGGAAGAAAACTACCCTTAACTCAAAACAGAAACAGGGACATGCCCGTTAAAAACAGAGACCGAGAAGAGAAGAGGAGAAAGAAAAGATGAATTAGGTAATGTATTCTGATGGAAAACTATTTTATCCTTAAGAAAAACTTATAGCAGAATCATTTTAAGGGCGAAAAGGAAAAGTTAAATTATTTTTAAAATATAAAAAGTCATTTTTACTCTTAAAAAACCCTAAAATTTGCCTCATTCTGGGGATAGAAAGGGTAAGTCGACAAGTTTTGCTCCAGCAGCACTGTTGCACTGCGAATTAGGCTACGACAATGGCTGTAAATACAGCTGCGATGGCTGACAAAGCAAAACGCTCAGCTATGACAAGGTCGCTGGAGCATATACAGTCCCCGGTGTGAAAGCTATATAGGGGTGGCAGAGCAGAGGAAAGGTTTAGGGATCACAGAACGAAATCAATTTCAGGCTTTCAAGCAAACTGGGTTGCGGGTCAATATTTACTTACAAAATTAAAGGGATTATACGACGAAAAAACCTCCAATGTTTAATCAAATAGTACGAAAATAAAAGCATAATTGAAGTGAAAGAATAATGGTAAAAGAGGAACGAGAGAGACAGAGAGAACTTACAATGAATGATTGACTTACAGCGTAAATTGTTGATTGGGAAATCAGAAAGGAATAAAGGGATCTGGATATGCAAGATTAGCTCCTTTTATTTTGTTCGTCAGGTTGCAGAATTTTTTATTTTTTATTTTTTGATGTTTAGATTAATATTGCAAAAATTTCCTTATTGTGGCCCAATCTTATCGTATATTTTTTAATCTCTGACTCATTTCTTCCGTGGAACCATGTCCTTGCGACACTGTTTATATACAGGTGGTTTCGGAGTCAAATAGATATAAAGTACACTTTTTTAATTTTAAATTAATATTTTCAAATTTTATAATTTTAAAATATGAAATAATAAATTAATGCAAATTTAATGTATTATTTTATTATTTTAATTTAGCTTCCTAAATTTATTTTAAAAAATTAAATTAAAAAATTAAATTTTAAAAGACCAACATAAAATATAATAAAGTTAAAAGATCAAATAAAAATAAAAATTAGAGAATCAAACTAAAATAAAAAAAATTAAATAATTAAAATATTAATTTTAACTATAATTTATTTATCTATCAATAATATTTTTTATTTATATATATTTAAATTTTTATTTAGTTGTATTTTTGTTTGATCCCTTAATTTATTTTTGTTTGATTTTTAATTTAGCTTCCTAACTTGATTTTAAAAAATAATATTAAAAACATAAATTTTAAAAGACCAATATGAAATACAATAAAGTTAAAAGATCAATTTAAAATAAAAATTAGAGAATCAAACTAAAATAAAAAAATAATAATTAAAATATTAATTTCAATTATAATTTATTTATTTATCAATAATATTTTTTATTTATATATATTTAAATTTTTATTTAATTATATTTTTTTATCCCTTAATTTTTTTATTTTTAATTTATCTTCTTAATTTTATTTTAAAAATTAAATTAAAAAAATAAATTTTAAAAAAGACTAATATAAAATACAATAAAGTTAAAATATCAAATTAAAATAAAAATTAGAGAATCAAACTAAAATAAAAAATAAAATTAAATAATTAAAATATTAATTTTAACTATAATTTATTTATCTATTGATAATATTGTTTATTTATATATATTTAAATTTTTATTTAAGGAAAAGTTTCACCCTAAAATATTTTTGTGAATTTAAGTTTGAGTTCCATGTATTAGAATAAAACATTTTCATTTAATTAAAATATATAGTATAGGTAACCATTAAATTAATTATTATAAAAATAAATTTTTTTTATTAATATAATAATTTATGATTAAATGACAATATAAAAAGTTAGATTGAATATATTTTTAGTTCATATAAAATCATTAAAATTTACTTTTAATTTTAATAAAAAATTATTTTAATTTTTAATTAATGTAAAATGATTATAATTAATTTTTACTAATATTTAGTATCTATTATTAAATTTTTTAAGACATTATACTATTTTAAAAATTAAATAATATTAAATTTTACTTTTAGTCCTTATAAAAATTATTTTAGTCTTTATGTAGGAGTTATAAAGTTAGAAGCTACTAAATTTTATTTATAATATATGCATAAAAGTAACTTCATTAAATTTAAATTAAATTGTTTTTTATAATCCTACTAATGATTCCAACATTTATCTTCTTCATTAATATTTTCTTTATCTTACCAGTAATGATTATACAATATTGACATTATGATGTGTGTGGTTTGAGTTTGACTAGTATTATTTTTGTTAAAAAAGCTATAAATAGTGATGAAAAGAAAAAGTACAAGTTTGATTTAGTCTCAACTATTCTTAATAATGTGGATCTAAGAATGTTGAAAGAAAAATAGTGTATGATGAAAGCTAAAATGAGAGTGAAGACAAGTGTAATTTAAAGGAAAAAGTACAAAAATAGAAGAGGAGTTGAGTAACATAAAATGGAATAATAAAGACAATGATAGTTATGGTAGTGGTAATTGCTATTTGGAATCCAGATTACTGACATTGTTCACATGCATACCTATTGTTCCATTTATGTATATAAAGAATGAATCATTAGCTTGTGATTTATTTGAATAAGTGATAACCACGTCGCAATGGTATCAAACAAACTAGATTTTCTTAAAAATTTTGCAATACAAGGAGTAAATTTAGGTCATCTCACAAGGACATAAGATACATTCTATTTCTGGTTTCATCATGTGATTTCAGATTAGCTTAGAGAAGGATTGTTTTGAATTAAATTGTAAACAACAAAAAAGAAAAGAACAAGGAATAATTATAACGAAACGAAATATGAAATTCAACTAAATCAAGATCTCAATCACTACAACGCAATTCTCATTGTTACACGAATATAATTCCAATGAATTTCCAATCAATACTAATTCAATACGACATTAATAACTCAAAATCTAAATCTAGATTATAAATTTCATCAAAACAAGAACTGCAATCACAAATCCAATGCTCTAACAAAATTCAGAACAATTGATTTATTGAATTAGGTGAATTCATTTTTTTCAAATCTGAAATTCTCATTCTCTATTTAGAATGCAAACGAAAAATCAATTTCATGAAAAACGTAATTATCCTAATCAGAAAAGAGGAAGAAAAGTGCGAATTCGATAGAACTTAACCCAAAACTCAAACGCAATGTTGTTCTTGAAACCTTGAACCGATTGATGGATTAACCTTGCTTGATGATCATGTTTGCTTCGGCCAAAACCAGAAAATATGAAAAGATGGAAGGTAGAGAGACGAAAATAAAGGAAAGAATTTAAAATAAAGACTTTTGTAATTCTGAAAAATTGCGGGAAAAAAAAAACAAGGATTCGTACATAGAGTCATAACCTCTATTTAAAGATAAAATAATTGGGCTTAATTAAGGCCCAACTCCCTAATGAGTTTCCTAAACACCTAACTAAGTAAAAGACATAATAATTGGACTTAATTAAGACCTAACTCCCTAACTAAGTAAAATCAACAATACAATCAAATTCTGAAAATTTTAGTACAGGGCAGCAATATTGTGACGCAATTTTGGACTTGAAGATGCTCGAACTGGGCTTTTCTCCCAACAGAGAAGTTGTAGATCTCTGTCTTATCTTTCCAGGGACACCAATTTTGTCCAATTTCGAGTAGTGTAACTCCAGATATGGTCTTTGAAAGAAACTGTGTCAAAATAAGAAATTATGGCGGGAATTAAGAAAGATTTATATTTAAATCCTAAATTACTTATTAACACAAATCTAAACTAACACATCAAAATAGTGCACTAATGAAGCTCAATTAAACCAAAAACATGGAAAGAAAGATGCACTAAAATATGATTATCAAATACCCCCACACTTAATCCTTTGCACTCCGGGGCAAAACTTTCTAATGAATTTCTAATGCAAAGAATAAAGAAAGAGAACAAACATTTCTAGAATCAAGGCAACAAACAATCAATGAGACACAAATGACATTAGAAGTAAGCAAGAAGGCAAGTTAAAATAAAGAAAGATTCAAAAATGATAGAACCTCACAGATAGTGTATAGCTCTCAACTCTCAAATATTTTTGGCTAGTATTTACACTCAACACAACATGAAAACTAGCACAACCAAGCTTTGACAAGCTTCTAATTTCCACAACTTGAAACACATGCTATTAAAGATCAAAAGGACTTTTGTTTAGCTTGTAATGTGGCCAAGGTAAAGGTTAGATGGAAAAGACATTTAGGCTTAAACAACTAAAGAGAAAAGAGGAGCAATGGGGAATAAGTTTAAATAAGCAAAAAGATTACCCCTAGAAAAATCTCCTAACCCCAATGGTTTTCCACATAATTTTTTTTTATATATATACTTTTTTTTTCTTTTGCTTGCTTTTCTTTCTTTCTTTCTTTCTTTCTTCTTCTTCTTCTTCTATTTTTTTTTTTAAATACCAAACAACTCAATATCCACAATATAGAAGTATTTCCTAGAGGCACCCCCACACTTATTAAAGACTCATTCCCAAAACAATTCCAAAGCTCCTATAATCCCTAAGGTTATGGAACATCATGGTTTTTCACTATATGGCTTATAATGAGCTAAAATCAAGGAAGGGTTATAAAGGCCCAAAGGGGGTAAACAAGAGGAATCAATGTAAGGTAAGTCAATTTGGCAAAGTAGCTACAATTTGAAGAAAGGCCTAAATCATATCAATAATGCATGTGACAAGAAGCTTCAAAAAGATACAAGGCAAAACCAAAGGTAATCTAGCAACATGAGTGAAATCACACAAGAAAGAAGTAAAATATGCTCAAAATTCTCACAAGGTTTATATTCTATCATTAATGAATCAAACTCAATTTTCAAGCAACTTGCTCAACAAAAAATGTAAAAATGACTCATATCAAGTATTGCAACCTATCAACTAAAAATGGTGTAACAACTTTCACAATTCCTACATCTAGAAATTAAAAAGAAAGGATGAAAACTCCAACAAAACATCATTAGAACAGAAAAATAGAAGCACAAACTGCAGAATTTGAAAAACAACAGAAAACAAAAAACAGAAAATGAAAACTGCAGAAAATGAAAAATAGAAAACAAAAACTGCAGAAAAAGAAAAACAGAAAATGAAAACTGCAGAAAATCAAAACAACAAACGAAAACTGCAGAAAACAAAAATAGAAAATGAAAACTGCAGAAAACGAAAAATAGCAACACAAGTTTTCATGCAACTCCCCCCACACTTAAAAGTTACATTGTCCTCAATGCAGCCAAACAACAAAGACAATTTCAAAGAATACAGAATGGGGAAAGAACTCCCTCAAGGTTCAAGAGTTGGTGGTTCCAAGGACATGCTTTCTACAATTTCCTCCTCCAACTTTGGACTTTGATGAAATTCCTTGAGTTGATGTCCATTGACCTTGAAAATGCTACCGATGACTTCATTCTTAATTTCAACTGCACCATGGGAAAACACATTAGTAACAACAAAAGGACCATCCCATCTAGATCTAAGTTTACTGGCTATAAGTTTTAGGCGGGAATTGAACAAAAGCACTTGTTGGCCTACTTTGAACTCCTTTCTCAAAATATGTCTATCATGAAAACAT